TGAATTGGATGGTGTCTCTCTGCCTTTTAGTTAGACTGGCTAATAGTTTGTCTATCTTGTTGATTTTCTCAAAGAACCTCCTCTTTCTTTAATTGATTCTTAGAATTGTTTTATTTCGTTCTCATTTATTGATTTCAGCCCTGAGTTTATTTCCAGCCATTTACTCTTTTTCGATGTGTCTGCTTTTCATTTTCTAGCGTTTCTAGGTGAGCCATTAATTTGCTTGAATGAGATATCTTGAATTTCTTCTTGAAGGCACTCAGTGCTATAAACATTCCTCTTAGCACTGCTTTCACTGTGTCCCAAAAGTTTGGGTATGTTGTGTCTTCATCTTCATTGAAATTCATTGAATTTCTTTATTTCTTTGACCCAGCTGTCAATTAGTAGCAAGTTGTTTAGTTTCCACGTGTGTGTAGGTTTTTTACTATTTCTGTTGTTGTTGATGTCCAGCTTTATGCCATGGTGATAAGATAAGATACAAGGGATTGTTTCAATCTCTTGTATCTGTTGACACTTGCTTCATGACCAACCAGATGGTCTAATTTGTTGAAGGTTCCATGAGGTGCTGAGAAGAAGGTAACTTCTTTTGTATTTGGGTGTAAGTTTATGTAAATGTCTGTTAGTTACATTTGATTCATGACCTCTGTTAGAGACATTGTTTCTTTGTTTAATTTCTGTTTTGTTGATCTTTCCTTTGTTGGGAGTGAGGTGTTGATGTCTCCCACTATTACTGTGTGGGGATCTATGTGTGGTTTATGTTTTATCAATGTTTCTTTCAAAAATGTGGGTGCCCTTTATTTGGGGCATAGATGTTCAGGATTGTGGTATCTTCCTGGTGGAATTTTCCCTTGATGAGTATGAAGTTTCCTTCCCCATCACTTCTTATTAATTTTGGTTTGAAAGTCTATTTTATCAGATATTAGAATGGCTACTCCTGCTTTCTTCTTGGCTCCATTTGCTTGGAAAGTAGTCTTCCAAACCTTTTACCCTCAGGTAATGTCTATCTTTGTGACTTAGGTGTGTTTCTGGAAAGCAACATATTACTGGGTTTTGTTTAATCATCCATTCTGTTAGTCTGTGTCTTTTTATTGGAGAATTGAGTCCATTGATGTTGAGATAGATTAATGACCAGTGGCTATTAGATCCTTTGATTTTGATATTGGCTGTGGTAGTAATTTCTGTGCTTGGTTGCTTTTTGTTTTACTGTAATTAAATTAATTATTTTCTGTGTTTTCTTGAAAGTAGCTAGTTTTCTTGGGTTGCATTTTCCCTTCTAGTGTCTTCTGTAATTATGAATTTGTGGGTACGTATTGTTGAAATTTGTTTTTGTCATTGAATATCTTGTTTTCTCCGTCTATGAGGACTAAAAATTTTGCAGGGTATAGTAGCCTGGGCTCACATCTGTGTTCTCTTATGGTCTGCATGATATCCATCCAGGCTCTTCTGGCTTTCATAGTCTTTGTTGAAAAGTCAGGTGTGATTCTGATGGGTTTGCCATTATATGTTACTTGGCCTTTTTCCCTTGCAACTTTTAGTATGTTTTCTTTGTTCTGTATATTTGCTCTTTTTATTATTATGTGGTGGGAAGATTTTCTTTTCTGGTCTAATTTATTGGGTTTTCTGTAGGCCTCTTGTAGTCTTATTGGCCTCTCCTTTAAGTTGGGAAAATTTTCTTCAATGATTTTGTTGAAAATGTTTTCTAGACCTTGGAGTAGGTAATCTTCTTTTTCCTCTATTCCTATTATTCTTAGGTTTTGTCTTTTTATGTTGTCATGCATTTCTTGGATGGTTTGTGTCAGGAATTTTTTAGATTTAAGATTTCTTTGACAGATACATTGATTTCTTCCATTGTATCTTCCACACCTGAGATTCTTTCTTCCATCTCTTGTAGTCTATTGGTTATGCTTAACTCGGTAGTTCCTGTTTTCTTCCCTAAGTTCTTTCTCTCCACAATTCCCTCCATTTGTGTTTTCTTTAATTTTTCCAATTCTATCTTCAGATCTTGGGCAGTTTTTTTTGTTTTGTTTTTTTTGTTTTTTTTTGTTTTTTTTTTTTTTGTTTTTTTACTTTCCTTCACCTGACTGACTGTATTTCCCTTCAATTCCTTCAGCTTTTTGTTTGAATAATTCTGTATTTTTCTTATATCTTCCAGTGATTAAGTATTTCCTCTCTAAAGGCCACAAACTATTTGGCTGCCACTTCCTGGATTTCTTTATGGATGGCCATAATCTGTTTTTCTTTATCTTCTTCTGTTTTTTTAAGGATGGCCATAATCTGTTTGAGTTTATCTTTCTCTAGGTCTTTACACATTTTATCTGTTTCCCCTTGTTATCGTCTTCATGAGCATTGAAGTTAGGTCATCCTCTTGAATTTCAATTATGCTAGGGTGTCCAGGGATACTTACCCCTGGATAACTGGGTTCTGGAGATGCCATATTGCTCTGTCTTTTGTTGGTTGAGCTTTTACACTCGCCTGTACCCATTGGGACATCTTAGGTGTTGGGTGTTAGTTTCTGGTGGTTCCTGGAATCCTGTGGTGGAGAGAATCTCCTTGGCAGGAAGATGGTTTTTCCTGAAGGAAGCCTCCTCAGCATTTTGTGTATGGTCACTGTATGGCTGGTGTTTTTCAGGAGTTGCCATAGCTCGCCTCAGGCTTATAGACCTGAGTGGTAACTTTGGTCTTTGTTAGTCAAGAGGGCTCTCCTCTCACCTGGAGAAGTCCTGGAGACAGCTGCCCTGCTTCTGGGTTTCTTGCTGTAAATTTAGTTAGCTGCTGCTTTAACCTGGGTGTCGCGTGGTTTGGTCAGTTCTGTTAGGGATAACTGGTTGCCCCTTACAGCAGTATCTGGGCATTGTTCTCGGGGATCCCAGGCTTCTGTAGGTCTGAGGTTGGGGCTCTGTGCCCCAGTGCCCAAGTGGTAATCTGTGGCAGGTGAGTACTGCTCTCCTGGTAGCAGCAGGCTAGATGGTGCACAGCAGGTTCCTGGGTTGGGCAGGTCTGCGGAACCTTTTCCAGGGATATACTGGGTAGTCTAAGTCTGCCCTGACTGCTTCCTTTTCTGTGGGGGATTTCTCCCAACAGGGACTCCAAGTCTCTGGTGCCCTCAGGCGGACAGTTCTGTCTGTGAGGAATAGCTGGTGCACAGCAGGTTTCTGGGCTGGTGGTGCTCTAGCCCTCTGGTCTGTAAGACTTTTTCCATGGATATACCAGATGACCTAATTGGGTCCCTGTTTGCTTTCTTCCTTGTGGGGTTTTCTCCCTACAGGGACTCCGAGTCTCTGTTGCCCTTGGGCACACAGCTTTGTCTGTGATGGAGAACTGGGCGCACAGTAGTCTCTGTGCTCATTGCTGGAGCCCAGTTCATTGATGGCGGCCTGCACCCGACATTCTGAGAGACCTTTCCAGGGAATGACTAAGTGACCCAAGGCCAATCCCGTTTCCTTCCTTCCCTGTGGGTTTTTCTCCCAAATGGGACTCCCTGTCTTTGATGTTTTTGTGCCCACCGTTCCGTCTGGGAAGGTGATCAGGACACCCAGGTGTGCAGTCTGGTCTGGTGATCTCTTCTGGGTTCTGGCTGGGTGACTTGAGAGTGGACCTGATTCCCACACCGTGGGGGTTTTGTCTCACCTAGGAAACACGATCGCTCTTGTTTTACAGCCCAGAGTTCAGTCTCTTGGTCGCTCTCCAGAAAATGTTGTCCTGCTCCTCAGAAGCAGTGTTCTCTTGGTGTCACCATCTTGCCCCTCCTAGTATTAATTTCTTAAAGATCTACTTGTGAAGACCATGACACCAATTGTAAACTGATCTCATTAGTTTCAAACTTAATACCTCAAAGTTGAACTTAATTATCACTAGAAAAAATGTACACATTTTACCAAACCATGGCATTCTTTTAGTTTATCTCTTATTTTATACAGTTATTTTTATTTTACATACTATCTATAAGATATAGAAATACTATTTGTAAACACTTAAATATAAAATTAATTTTGTAATACCAATAGATATAATGAACATTGTAAAAATATCTCAGATAATTTTGGGGATCATAAGACCAACAATATTACTCTTAAGTCTAAACAGCTATAATGTTCTTCAAATATTTTAAAATACAGGTTCTAATTTTTCACTTATGTTCATTATATAAACTGTGTGCAGTAGAAGTATAACAATATATTTGAGGAAAATAATTTTGTATATGTAAACTTCCATATAAATTACTCAATAGTATTATAGTGCTACTATCAAATATTACATGTTCTTTATGTAATTAGTAATTATGCATACAAACATTTGATTTTAATATATTACTGACAACAATACTTCATAAGGATAAACATTGGCTTGTAATACATGTATAATTATTACACAGAGAACATTAATACTACAAATTAACAATGATACATCACATTTAATATTAAGTTACTGTAGTGTTGTATATAACCACAAACATGATAGATTTAATAGATTTGAAATTTAATAGTCTTTGTAAGTATGAATTTTAAAATACAGGTGAAAAGCCAAATAGAAGTATTTTAAATATTATTATAAAGTGAGGGATACTGAACTTATAATTTAATTATTTGAATGCATATACTCTACTGTTGTTTTAAAAGTAGATCGGAGATTACAGCAATAAATACAGATGTTTTAAATGAAGCTCATGTTTCCAGAGCTGCCACTTACATTTATGACCTGATGATATCAGTTCCTGAAATAAATTTCTACTTCCTATTATAGTCTCTAATCATCTAGTATATGTATATATATGTATAAATACATATTTGTCTTCTGGATACCATTTTTATCTGCTATTTAATGTTGATGTTTCTATATTATATATAGCTATATAGATGTATTAAAAGAGTGCATGTGCCATACACAATGACAGTTTATATTGTGTTTGATGAAGTTTTATTTTTATAGAAATTTATCTTATCTCAATAATAATAATGATACCTAACAACTGAATTAATTGAAACAAAATTTTTCTCCTACAGTTGTCATAAAATGTCAGGCCAACAAACGAGTAGAAGAGAAAGTGAAAGTGACAATGATTGGTAGCTTTTTTGGCTCACATCCATCGCATGAATTGACAGAATTTTTGGTGTTTCCGAAAAATTCAATTAACAATATTTATGAAGATATTCATGGTAAGAGAATTATAATCATGGCTATAAGAATTAATTATAGTAAATAAAACATATTTACTTTAAAATGTAGGTTACTGATTTCTCAGTAATTAAGAACCATTTACTTTTCATTGAATATACTATTCAAGTTATTACTTATGAACTCTGTTAAATATGTTGCTTTTACATAGCAGTTATCTCAGTAGTGATAGCTCTTGTTACCACATTATTTACATAACACGAATTGTGAATCTTTTAACATTTAGAAAAGAAAAACCTCTGTAAGTTAAGTTTCTAATGGAACTCAACTTTAATATATTTATTTTTCTGATTTTTTGTGTGTGCAGTCTTGAACATTTAACTGAGGATTTCACACATGTTATACAAAACACTGTGAAACTGGGCTAAATGTTGAGTCACTTTGAGATTCAAGAATTTTTACTGAAGCAATATTACAATTATAAATCAATTTGAATGAGTGTTTCTTACATTAAAAAATAGAAAAAATTATATGAATTAAATGTAATGTTTAAATCAATCTCTAAATGATAAATTTTACTACTCATATTTTTATTTTTGTTTCATATTTTTATACAAATTAAAATAATTTATGTGTGCTATCAGTAGAGTATTATAAAGTTCAAATTCCAAAATCTGAAGCAAAAAGGATTCCATACCTAACAAGTTGTAATCACGGTGAAATACATAATTAATAGATAGAAAATATAGACTTTTTTTTTATAGTATGTGAAATTTTTTTTAATTTTATTTTTCTTTTTAGTTACATTTTGTTAACTCTGTGTCCCAGCTGTATCCCGCTCCCTCATTCCCTCCCCAACCCCGCACTCCCTCCCTGGTCTCCTCCCTGCTCCTTTCCAAGTCTACTGATAGGGGAGGACCTCCTCCCCTTTCATTTGAACCTATTTTATCAGGTACCTTCAGGGCTGGCTGCAAAGTCTTCCTCTGTAGCCTAACAGACTGCTCCTCCCCTGGGGGGGGGGGTCAAACAGCCTGCCCTTGAGATCCTGTTAGAAATAGTCCTTGTTCCCCTTACTTTGGAAAACTACCTGGTTACTGAGCTACCATGGGCCACATCCGAGCAGAAGTTCTACGTTATATCCATAGATGTTCCTTGGTTGAGTGTCAGTCTCAGAAAAGACCCTGTTCCCGGATATATTTGGTCCTTGTAGAGCTCCTATCCTTTCCATATCATACTAACTTCCCTTCTTTCATATGATTCCCTGCACTCTGCCATGGTTTGGTTATGAGTCTTAGTGTCTGCTTTGAAACACTGCTAGGTAGAGTCTTTCAGATTCCTTTTGTGGTAGACTCCTGTCATACGTTCAATGCACATCCCATTTGTCTTTCTAAATGAGGATTAATCACCTTCGCCTGTGTCCACTTTCTTGATTATCTTCTTTAGGTGTGTAGATTTCATTATGTTTATCATATCTTGTAGGTCTATATAAGCGAGTATATACCAAGTTTGTCTTTCTCCTTCTGGGATACTTCACTCAGAATGATCTTTTCTAGATCCCACCACTTGCCTGCAAATTTCATGATTTCCTCCTTTTTGATTGCTGAGTAGTATTCCATTGTGTAAAAATACCACAATTTCTGTATCCATTCCTCCGTTGATGGACATCTGGATTGTTTCCAAGTTCTGGCTATTACAAATAAAGCTGCTACGAACATGGTTGAACAAATGTCCTTGTTGTGTACTTGAGCAAATTTTGGGTATATACCTAGGAGTGGTATAGCTGGGTCTTGAGGTAGCACTACTCCTAGTTGTCTGAGAAAGCGCCAGATTGACTTCCAAAGTGGTTGAACCAGTTTACATTCCCACCAGCAATGGAGGAGGGTTCCCTTTTCTCCACAACCTCTCCCGCATGTGCTATCACTTGAGTTTTTCATCTTGGCCATTCTGATGGGTGTAAGGTGAAATCTCAGGGTCGTTTTGATTTGCATTTCCCTAATGGCTAATGAGGTTGATCATTTCTTTAAGTGTTTCTCTGCCATTCGATGTTCCTCTTTCAAGAATTCTCTGTTTAGCTCTGTTCCCTATTTTTTAATTGGATTACTTGGTTTGTTGCTTTTCTGCTTCTTTAGTTCTTTAAATATACTGGATATCTCAGAAGATGGAAAGATCTCCCGTGCTCATGGATTGGTAGGATTAACATTGTGAAAATGGCCATCCTGCCAAAAGCAATCTACAGACTCAATGCAATTCCCATCAAAATACCAACTCAATTCTTTACAGACCTTGAAAAAAAGATTCTCAGCTTCATATGGAGAAACAAAAAACCCAGAATCTCCAAAATGATCCTGTACAACAACAGATCATCTGGAGGTATCTCCATTCCCGATCTCAAGCTGTACTACAGGGCAACAGTAATAAAAACTGCATGGTATTGGCATAGAAACAGAAAGGAGGATCAATGGAACCGCATAGAAGACCCAGAAATAAACCCACACACCTATGAATACTCAATATTTGACAAAGAAGCCAAATTCATTCAATGGAAAAAAGACGGCATCTTCAACAAATGGTGCTGGACCAACTGGATGTCTACATGCAGAAAAATGAAAATAGATCCATATTTATCACCCTGCACAAAACTAAAGTCCAAGTGGATCAAGGACCTCAACATAAAACCAGATACTCTAAATCAGTTGGAAAAAAAAAGTGGGAAACAGCCTAGAACTCAGGAGACAACTTCCTGAACAGAACACCAACAGCACAGGCTCTAAGAGCAATAATCAATAAATGGGACCTCATGAAACTGAAAAGCTTCTGTAAAGCAAAAGACACTGTCATCAAAACAAATAGACAGCCTACAGATTGGGAAATATAGACTTTTAAAAGGGAGAAATATTTGCAAGCTATATTTCTGATGAAGAGTTAATCTAAAAAAAATTAATTATGAATGCTCCTAACTCTTAAAAACCTAATAACCTATTTGAAAACTAGACTAAGGAACTTGAATAAACTGTTCTCCACAGACAATACAAAAGGAGTAACTAGGTGAAAATATATCCACTGTTACTTATTACAAGGGAAATTCTGGGGACACTAAGATGTCAGTGACCAGTGAGCACCTTATCTGAAGGGTAGAGGATCTGAAACTCCAAAACTGGTGGAGGGATAGGCAGCTGAATCCAGAGCATTGACTTTGAGGCTTCCAGGGCTAGAGGGGACAACCCTTGAGTTGGGACAGATTAGATCCAGGCACCCAGTCCCTGGTGTCTGAGAGTGGTGAACTATGGATCCCTGCACTTTGCTTGCTCATGCGGCAGCAGGCACTGCTGAGGCAGCTGCAGCAAAGGCAGCAGCAGGGAGTGCCTAGCCAGACATAGAGGGCCTCCATACTGTAAAGACCAACAAAAGAACCAAATCTGAAACTAGAAAACATTGATCCCTCTGAGCTTTTCACCTAAGTCTGCCAGTGAGTGCATGGGCACGCTGTGCTTTCTTTACTCATCTCCACCTAAATACATCTGCCAGTGAGTGTTTACAGAGCCTCAGATCCAGCGACCCTCTACACTAGTCGCCAGACTTTGGATCACTCTCACCCACACCCCCATTATGGGCCACATAGAAATCACTGGAAGAACCTTCTTAACATTGAAGCCACTGTTCTGGAGCCAAAATGGTGCAGCCCAGACATATCTGGGTTTCTGGAGCACAATACTGCAACAGGTCTGTGGGCCACTGAGACATTCAGGGTCCCTGTGCATGCTCACAGTACCCATGAACTGCGCCAGCACCCCAACCTGCTCCTATGCTCCCCCTTCCAGACATCTACACATACTATCACCTGATCCTTCAAGGCACAATTTCACACATTCCATACATATGTGCCTGTGAAATTCTTTTCTTAGCTGTATCTTCAATAGCACCCACTCTTAAACCATTGAACCTCTCTCATCTAGATTGCAGAGACAGGCAGACACAATCTGCAGTATAGGTTCCAGGAACAAACAGACCATCAATGACTAGAGGCCTATGTAACAACATATGGAACAAATATCGGGACATCATGGTTGTACCAGCAACCTCCAATATCAATGGATATTTTAATTCATCGGAAGCACAGGAAAATGATCTCATATCTATGCTTATCCAGTTATTAAAAGCACATAAAGAGAAAATGAACAAAGCTCTCAAAGAAATACAAACAATTATTGCCAAAAAAAATAGAGAGAAAATGAACAAAGTTCTTAAGAAAATACAGGCAAATACAGCCAAACAAATACAGGCAAATAAAGAGGAAACAAACAAAAAAATAGAGGTTATCATGGACAGACAAGAATCCAAATGCAAACAGATGAAGGAAATGGTGCAAGACATTAAAACAGAATTAGAATCAATAATAAAAACTCAAAACACACAAACCCCTGGAGTTGGAAAGCTTAGCAAAGAGATCAAGAGACACAGAGGTAAGCATCACCAACAGAATTCATATATGGAGGAGAGAATCTCAGGTGCTGAAGACATAACTGAAACCTTGAAAAGACAAAACCTAAGAATAATAGGAATAGATGAAAAACAAAATTCTAGGAGCCAATGTCCAGAAAATATTTTCAAGAAAATTTTAGAAGAAAATTTTCCTAATTTAAAGGAAAAGATGTCCCTAAGCATACAAGAGGCTTACAGAACACCAAATGCACTAGACCAGAAAAGAAACTCCTCACATTATGTAATCATCAAAACAGTCTACAGAACCAATAAAAATATTAAAATCAGTAAGGGGAAAAGGCCAAGTAACATATAAAGGAAGACCTATCAGAATAACACCAGACTTCTCAACAGAAACAATGAGAGCCACAAGGTCCTAGAGAGATGTCATGCAGCCTCTTAAGAGAACACATGTTAAACCAAACTACTATAACCAGCAAAACTTTCAATCAACATAGATGAAGAAAAAAAATATTCCATGACAAAACTAAACTTAAACAATTTCTACACAGCAACCCAGCCCTGCAGAGGATGCTAGAAGGAAAACTCCAATCCAAAGAAA